AGAACTAGTTTTGTTAAAACACAGTAACTTAAAATGTATTAACCCATACATAGCCAAATCTTTTTGTCAATATTCATTATCACACTTTATTTTGGCCCATGCTAGATGCACAGAACAGGAAAATCCAAAGAAGTCAATGCTGACATTAAAGGGCACCATCTAAAGCCACTCAGATAGTTAAAGAAACCCTTACATAACACAACTTTAAACCACCTTGAACAAACTACGCAAAAAGGTTCAAGCCAAAGGCAGCCTGCAAAGCAGTAATTGTAAAATCCACAGAAGTCAGTGGAAAAACATTAGTAAGACTGTAAGAATACCAAGATTTCACATTTACGCTATTATTACCATCTTAATGTGGAAATTAGGCTAAGAACAATCCAAGTTCTTAGAAATCAGTCCAATGTTAATGTCTTTGCACATCCTTCCAGCACAGAGAATTCTTTATTAACACGTACTTAATAACTAATTGCTAATAGAGTGTGTTCCCTTGCTAGCATGGCAGTCCTGCAGACAGAACCTGCCCTCTTTCAAAACAAGCAGACAGAGCAAGACTCTTTTCTGTTTCCCTCGAGTAGAGTGCCATGCCATGCCCCTTCTAGCTTGCCTCAGTGCACTTGGCATGTTCATTTAAAACTTTCTCAAAGTGTTTGAAAACACTTGCACAGTATTTGGACGGCAGCTTCACAGACCCACGTTTGCACTCACTGCACATGCAGTGCAGAGCAGATATGAGTCAAAAATCTGTCATGACTGCTTGCCACAATTTCAGTAATTGAATTCTGACCTGTGATTTTGGATTTACTCCAGAACCTGACAAATCTGGAGGACTAAAAAAATTCTCAATTGAGTCCAAATATGTGGATATTTTGCCCTCTTTGGGTTGCACCTACAAATGGACAGAAGTCTATTTTCTCAGTGTAATGATATATTTCTAAAGCACAAAGGGGAACTCCTGAGGCATGTGAAGTGTGATAATTTCAATTAAATTCATGAAGCTATGGGAAGTTATGCCAAAGAGTTTGCCTATGCTAGCTCAAAATTTGCTGCTGAAGATGATATATATTTCCTAACCTAGGAATGCATTTTCCACTGTCCAGCTGCTAGTTAAGAAGATTAATGACTGCTTTGTAGCTCCAATTAAACTCCTTTATCACCAAGAGGGACCAAACAAGTTTTGATTTCAAAAGTACTGCTTAAGAAAGAAGACCAGGGCCGCATAACACTGACATTTTATTAGAATTCATTTGTAACAAATGGAACTTGTGTCAGCAAAGAACTGATTTTCATACAGACTTTCTTTTGCCACCAATGTAACGAAGTAAGAAAATAAAAAGCACGCCTTTCATTCTGTAAAACATTTACGCGTACTACTAATTAGAGGTAATTGTATCTTTTTTTAACAAGCCATTTTACAAGGTAATTTTTTAAATTTTTCAGTCTATGCATCCAAAACAAGAGCAAAGAACACAATTTTTTATTATCTTTGTAAAGACACTCCAAGCTTGAATGGCAAAGCCACATAATGGATGGTTACGATGAGACCTGTAGCCTTCTGATATCTGTGGAGTATCAGGGCACCAAAAAAACCCCCCAAAAACCAAATCCCAAAAAATTCAAAAAGAAAAAAAGGAGAAGAAAATAAGAAAAAAAGAAAAATAAAGAAAAATAGGAGAGAAAAGGAAAAAAAGTAGTTGCATTTTTTTGTCATTGCAAACAATTTTTTTTTCCTTTTTACATGTTCTGTGTCATTTAAATACACACAAGTGGATTTTATAAGCAGTTTCTCACAGATGGGTTCAAGTTATAACATTATTGGGTGTAGAATCAATAGGGCAGTGCATAGTACAAAGGTATATATAGAAAGTGCAAATCTCCCTAGAGGGCCACTCCTTCCCCCAGCTGTCCTCTTCACTCACTATCTAACCACTCAAATAATTTAAAAAAAAAGATCTAAATTAAACTTCTGTATAAAGCATTTTTATATATTTTGTGTTTTTTTTCCCCATTGCAACTAATTACAAAATTAGACATAACTACACATATAAACGTAAATAATAGCACCATACTGGTTATGCTGATTAAACCAATTCTAAGCTTGGAAATGTATGATGTATGTAGACTAAGATGCTCACAATTTAAATTAACTGTAGAATAACTATATGTAAGAATACAGAAAGTGGAATGCACATCAGTGATGCTAACAGTTACCTTAAGAAACATAAAACCTAAAAGGAATATTTAGTTGTACAACTGTATTCGTCATAAATTGGCTGTTCCCTCCCCACCTTCTCCCTCCCCCCCCCACCATTTTCTTTGGAGCTTGCAAGACAGTCTGCTAGGGAGATTGCTCTGATCCTTTTACAGATCCAGTGTGTAAGTATCTTCCCTAGTCTATGTTTCCAAAATTATGCTTTTTTGATTATTGTATTTTTCTGATCCCTTACATTTGAGTTGAAGAACATGACCACACCACATAACCTGGCACTTCAATAATTATTTTAAAATACAAATCAATAAAGAAGAAGAAACATAGTGCACATTCTTCTCTGGTTCAGATGTAAGTTATAGAATCTCATTCTGAGGTAGCCTTCTATAGTACTTCCATATATATATTTATATTTTTGTTTTGATTTTTTTTGTGTGTTTTTTTTTCTTTACAAAAGTGCTCAAGTACAATACTTGCTAAAGTTTGGTCTTTCGTATTTTTCTTTCTGCTAGTAGTGGGACAAGTGGAAGAAGAAAAAAGTTGAAGTCACATTGACAAGCCATACCAATGTCCTTATTTGAAATCCCAAAGAAAGAATCCGTTTGATATTCGTGTACTGACAATGGCAGAAGGCATGATAAAAACCAGGGTCAATGTAAATGGCATTCTATTAAGAGTCTCAAAAAGTACTTTGTGCTGTTTGCAGAATTTTCTTTGTTCCCTGAAGAAAATCTAGTGTCATCCTCAAATATATCCTGTGGGCTCAGTCTTACTAGCCTTACAAGAACCCTCTCACTGACAGCAATGGTTTGACCTTAGCGATCTGTTGACACAACTGAATGAGCAGAAGTTGGCCCAAAATAAAAAAGAAAACAAAAAAATGCATGAGGACTGCTAATGTCAACTACTGCTAGTGTACCACTACATCTCTGCAATGATAATGCTATAACCTGTGACACAGTGGGTTTGAAAAGCCAACGAGAAATAGATTTTTAATTTACGGCCTGGTCTGTTATTGGAAATATGGAAAGATAAAGGGCTTTGACTACCTATGTGTTTTGGGTTATCATTTATTACCATCAATACTTGATTAGAAACTGGAAATGCATATTATTCAAAATTGTCTGATACATGTATTAAAACGTTTGAAAAGAATAACAGAGATACGAACAAACTGAACTAAATACAAATGAAGGCTAACTTAAAGAAATGCTATTCAAAATAGGCATCAAATATAAGGCACTCTAAATGTAAAATTAAAATAAAACCTAGCATCCCCGAACAATGCTGTATGCCATAAAACGTTTGATTTCACAGAGCAATGTGTGTTTGGCTTTGCCCTGTTACATATGATAAATGTAAATTATATAGCGCACACTATAGACAGTATACTATTGAATACAATTTTAAAACATCTTAATACCTAGTATATTACAACATTCTCCCCTCCTAAAGGGATATGCACTGACCTCTCCCACATGCACACCTCCTACATTTAATAATATGATTTCTTATTGCACTATAGTGTTACAAATATTGAACTTCACTGGAAGTCTAAATCACATACTCTGTGTGCGTGTGTGCATGTGTGCGTGTGTATGTGTGTGTGTGTTCAAGTGGCAATGTGGATAGAACTATTATTTGGGATAGAGATCACATTCAAATATCAATGATGTGCATTCCTCACTTCCCTTTGAAACAGATGTTTATGGACCTTCGAAATGTAGAGATGATCAAATACTAGTTTAATATAACTGTAGTATGCTGAAAAACTTTCCCAATGTTTTGATAAATCCGGGTATGGAAGAATCGATATGTGTATGTGTATGTGTGTGAGTATCTACCTATCTGTATCTCTGTAACTATACAGAGAGTTACATAAGGGTAGACAGTAATACATACATATATATATTAAGAGAGGGTGTGGGTGTGCATGTGGATATGTGTGCATGTGTGTGGGTGTGTTAGCAGCATCTTTATACTTTGCGCCTCCCTGTTGATTCCAAAAGAAACCAAAAAGCCCCATTTTGATTTAACTGATTACAATGAATAGTTTCTTAAAGAAAAATAAAACAAACAAAACTGTAAAAGTAATATCCAACAAGACTGTGGTACTGTAGATAAATATAGGACTGCACAAAAATGTGCAAATTTTCAAATTATTTAACATTTCTACAGCACGATATTACAGATAACAGTTCTACGGCATAAAAAAAAATCTACAGTTTTTAAACAAAAAGATTAACAGTTATGCAACCTTTAATTCACTTCATTGAATGATAAACTCTTGTTAAAAAAAGGAAAAAGTTTACACAGTTAAAAATGAAGCACAGGTCAGCAGTATCTTTACAATACTAAAAAACTAAATCAAGGACTTTCTTTTTAAACATTCCCACATTTTCCCTAAAGTGTTATGACGAGCAGTATGATGGGAAGGGGTGATGTTGAAGTAAAGAGTCCGCTTTGTTTGAGAAGCCAGGACTCAATCATTTAATAAACATCTTGCACTGAACTGCAGTTTTCTCAAAATTTCTCTTTGCAAAAGCATGAAATCCTGAACAAGATGATCATTTTTTCTGATTAATTTCCTCTTCCCTTTAACTTCAACCAATGTCGAACCCTTGAGGTATCTGTAAATGAGATCCTTCAGACGCCTCAGTGGTCAGGATTCTTTTATTATGGTTAGGTTATTAAACTGTGAATTCTTGGTCCACATGGAATAGTTTTTTTGTTTGTTTGTTTCTTTTTGTTTTATATATCCCCATTATTTTTTGTGGTTTTTTTATTTATTTTTTTTATTTTATATATCCCCAATAATCGCTCCTTAGCTAAGAGTTAAGAAGTACTTCTAAAGCACATTGTATGGCTCAGAAGCGGCTCTCTGGATCTTAAAGGGCCTGCAATAAAAATCCATGATGGGTTTTTATGTTGCATAGTGATCAAAGCTGCCCAGATATTCCAGTGCGGCTCGATAGCAGAACTGGTATTGATCCTAGAGAAAGAAAGATAGAAAACAAAAGCATCAAAAAGCCAGCTTGTTGGTGGGTTTCTGTTTTCTTTCAACTAAGAGTGAATATTTTGTGGCTACAAAGATACCACAGAGGCATCTGCAGTTCAGCAATACTCTCTTGCTGACATCAACAGAAAACCAGTCTAAGTTACAACAGATGAAGACAGACACTCATTTAATGAAATAACATTTTCCACAGAATGCAGCTTCTTTTTGTGCAGAGACTATATACCCATCTACTGACTGTTTGTTATTCTGGATTAATATAACATCAGCATAAAGCTTTCTTCTAATTGGACTGTGCTAAGAAGGTTTCCCCCCATGTACTCAAAAATAAGTAGCAAAATATCTAGTTAACTCTATAGCAAATACAAGACTAAATGATAAAATCCATCACAGCCTTAATATGGAACGCTGTATGGAAAACCACCAGGTTAAAAATCATGTTAAGGAAGCAAATGGAATCCCAGCCTTTCAGTAATACAGGCTTTGATGAAGATGTGAAGATATATTAGCCTGTGGCAAGAAACGGGCCTAAGAGAGAAATATGCAGCTAAAGCACCTTATTAACATGAAACATTGCATTTCAACCTACACCTGGAAGCAGAGAAAAGTTCAGTGCGGTGAGAGATTTGCTTATACCTCTGGTGAATCCAACATTTGGCATTTCATGTTATTCTTCCTCCCACACAGCAGTCCTTTTGCATATTTATGTAATATTGCACACTTATACTGAAATGGCACCTCTGTGCACTCATTTGCAACTGCCACTCAGGGTTTAAATGTTTAAAAAAAAATAAGAAAGAAGTTGCTTCTGAAAGCTCTTAAAAATATTAAGACAGTCTGCTTATTTATCTGATAGTGCTATATGGTAATCTCACAAGGGTTATACTTGTTAAGATCACAATTAAAATTCTTTTGGACACCAGGAAACTCATCAGATACTTGCTTCAATGTAGTGCCATGATCACTAATAGGTCTCTTCTGCTTCGTATTGGAACAGTGGGAGAATCCATTAGACATATGCCTAAATTTTAAGTGTATGTGTGGTCCACATGGAGTTCAAGTGCTTTGTTGAGTAAGGATTAGATTTCTTGGCAGTTTATACTACTGAATGAGACATGTGTTTTCCACAGAACCCTGAAAGAAATGTGTACACAACACTTCTACTTTCA